AACTAGGTAATGTTCTGTCCTCAAGTCTTAAGTTTTGCTTTTCTTTCTTTTTTGCCAAAGGTTCCTACCAGCTTATATCTGTTTAAATCTGATTGACGGGTCAAACAGCAGGATATTGCCTCCATAGAGGTAGTAAGGGAAGCAGGTGAACCACAAGGAAAGGCTGAGATCTAAAGAGTTTCCTAATAGGGGTATTTGGGTTCTTTCAAGTACTGCAGACATACTCATTAAACATAAGGAGCTCAGGGGCTAGAAAGATGGTGGTGTAAGGAAGTGAAACTAGAAACATTGATTATCCAGACAGTTCTCAACAGCCCTCATTCCAGGAGCTCTTATGAATGGCTGTATAAAAGGAAATAATGGTGATAGTAGTGAAGGAAAAGAGGAAATTAGAATGGGATGCACTTTACAAAGAAAAAAAAATGTTAAGGAACCAACCCCTGATGTGAAGGATGTGGAGATCACCATAACAAACTGAAGTGGTATCTAGGAAATTTTTTAGAATTGTTTGTATGGAAGTTATTCCAGCAAGACAGAATTTGTGCCTGTTGTAAATGAGAGGCAACAGTAGGGAGAATACTGCTTTTCCATTTTTATCTTTGCGCTGCCTCCTCTTCACTCTCAACTCTTTCTGCCTGATCCAACCCTGCGTGTTACTAAATTAGAGACATTGTAAATAAAGGCGTGGCTATGTATTTCCAGAATAAGAAATATAAACATTTTATTGATTGTTGAAATACAGGTCTAAAGGGTAGTGGAGAGATTTTGGTAAATAATCATTAAAAAAAATTATGGTGTTGCAAAATATAAAATTGTCACCAGCTAATTATTGCAATTATATCTACCATTTCTTTAGTAACTCAAGGCAGCATTGATAGCATGTGTCCTGTCACATTTTATCTCCTTAACAGGAATTCCATCTGATAGGCTGGCAGCCAGACCAAAATCATCCACTGAGCTTCGTAGCAAACCGGGGACTTGATCCTGAGTCTTTCCAATTTAAGTTCACTTGTACTTTCCTTTAATATTCTCTTCCCTTGTCTTAATTTCTTTTCGGCAACCAACGTTCTGTGACCATTGAACATATGTGGCCTCTCAAAGTTCTTTTAGGAGTTTACTTCTACCTCCTGATACATTAATTACAGGTAGTCCTCAATGTATGATGACAGTTGGGACTAGAATTTCCAGTGCTAAATGATGCAGTTGTAAAGTATGACAAGCAATGGCAATCCCTGCAGTTCCACTGACTTGCTGTCATTGACTGAATTCCATGGTTGTTAGGAAAGGCAACTTCCTTCCCACCAAAGTCAGTGGGGAAGCCATCAGGAAGTTGTAAATCCAAACCTGGCAGGTGGGTAAGTGGCTGCTGCTGGGTGAGAGAGGGAGTGAGGGCTCCATGAGGGGATGCACAAGAGGCTCAGCATAGGTTGGGTGCATGAGAGGGTGAGAGGGTGTAGGAAGTGCTGTTAGGGAGGATACACAATGGTGCAAGGGACAGGGAGGGTCTGCAGGAGAAAATGAGTGACCATTGTAGCATGGGCAGAGAGAGCCTGTAGGTAGGTGCATTGGGTGGGGGAAATGTTTCACCCCATTGTTATTTGGGGAAGTTGGTGGAGAAAGTTGTAAATGGCAATTGTGATTGCGAGGTCCTGCAACCAGTTATAAGTATGAATGGGTTGCCAAGTGCCCAGGTTGTAAGTGTGACCGCAGGAGTGCTGAGACCTTTGAAGACCGGTCATAACCACTATTCATTCAGCACCACCATAACTTTGAACAGTCGCCGTACAAATTAGGATTACCTATAGTACCCATGCATTTGCGTACTGGAAAAGGTTCAAATGATTCTGCAGTAAAAGTTGGTTCTGAATGTCATTTCTCACAAATAGTCATTTAACTGTGTTAAATATTCTTGGACCATCTGTCCTAGGAAATCTTGAATATTTTTCTACAGTGAGATAAAGGAATCACCAATGGAGCTGGGTAGCCTTACAAATGTGATAGATTAACCAAAAAAAACAAACAACCAAGCAAGCAGACAGGCAGGCAGGCAAACAAATAATACGTGTAGAATCTTAATTTCCTAGAAAAGTTTATTTTGTTATCATAGCCCAGTTATATTTCTGACTTTGTAGAAAGGTAGAATCAGTTTGGCATAGTGGTTAAAGTGTTGGACTCTACATTGGGAAGACCCAGGTTCTAGTCCACCCTCAGCCACAGAAGCTCTGACTCTTTTTGCCTAAACTCGCAGGACAGGGAAAAATAGGAGACGAGTACACCCATCTTACATTCACTTGAGCGCCTACAGAAAAGCAGAATATAAATCTAATGAATAAATAAAAGTCTGGTTACCATTACTGGCAAAGTTGACACGCGTGGGATACTTTACCATTTAGTCTTGGCAAATGCTTCTTCTAGTTTGTAGCTTCTAAAAGCTTATGTGTTAGCATCCCGATTAAAGCCAAAGGGTACAGGATAGGCCAGGAGAATTGTTGTAACTATATGAAAAGTGAAGCAGAGAGAGAAATTCAACATCTCTGACTTGACATGTTCAACAACAGTGTTGAGCTACATCACTGTAGCTTTTTCTCTGCCCAAATTCATCCAGTGTAAGGAGACAAAATAGGAGGTGACATTAAGAATTCCAATGATACATATAGATAAAAGGTAAGCAAATCCTAAGAGTTGAAAGAGTAGAGAGACCCAGATAGACTTTGAATTGTATTCCTCTTGATTAGCATAAAGAACAAGTCAAATCCAAAGCTGGGATCCTGACACCTCATGTTGGAGCGTTGGCAGTATTTGTAAAAGAAAAATATGACTGACTCCTTGTTCCATCCTTCACTTCTGAACAGCATAGTAGTAATCCATGTTAAAGCTTGGTTTAACTCAAGTACTTTGGTTAATAATTTGAGTCCCCACCCTATCAAAATAGCACATTTTTGAGTGCCACTGATTACACGCATAAAGATGTTAAGCATGCATTAGTTTCTCCTTTAAAATCAGTGGAACTTTTGGAAAGTGCAGTTTTGTGCAGTTCTTAGTTATGTCAGGAATAACTTCTGATGCAATCGTGCATTAATGGGGAAGATTCATATATCCCCAAATGTAAATACAAATAATATATGAATAATATAGTTGTACTGTTCTTCAAATAGTCTTTAAATTAGTGGGAGAAACATAGAAAACATCAAGCTTTGCTTCAATAAAATATTAAAAACTAAAATATCTTTTAAATTATCCAACTAAAATAAGTGTGTGGGATCTTATTTTCAGCAAATTCTTATAATTTGATAGCAACTGAAGTTTCACATTGCATTAAAGATGTATTGTGTTTGCGTTCATAATTTCTTGAACTGAACCTAGGAGGCTGAAACCAGTTAAAACAGTTGCCGTAAATGTTTGTTTAGAGGATGTGATGTCCTAAAATGTGGTTATCCAAGACCCCAATTCACAATTAATGATAGCAGTTTTGATGAAATCTTCCAAACTAAGATCCTTTAGGGATCACAGTATTAAAATCCTGCTCCCTGCATATCACAATTCTCCTTTTGCAAATAGCAGTGATCAAATGAGAATGCCTGTTTTTAAGTATTGAATGAAACCTTTCTCTATGCAAAGTGATACATTTGACATCAAATATGTTCAAGGACTGTTAGGATTAAGCGTTCAAAAGTGAAAGAGGAAGGCAAAGCCATTTGAGTTAAGGATAAGGAATCTAATTAAAATAGGTATTAAGCGTATCCGACTTGAGCTTGCTATCATGCTTTTGAAAGACTACCCTTGTATCCGTTGTAAAGTAGAGAAAAAAGTATCCTGAAAACTGGGATGAGGTGTTTTCCTGGATTAAGCAAGCAGCAGAAACTTGTTCTGAGTATTTAATTATCTCATTCTGTAAGTGTAATCCTTAATTTTGGAAATAGAAATCCAAAACTCTCTCCCGCTCTCTCTCTCTATCTCTCTATATAGATTTCTGTGGGCAAGCAAATATTTTACTTGAGACATTGATGTCCTCTGCAGGACTAGTTGACATAGTTTGGACTGGTGGAGTAGGTAATTCAATTACAGAAGAGATACCCCAGCCTCTTAATATCAAGGGATATTGCAACAAAAGTTCTGAGTATCCTAAATCTCAGTCTGCCTTATTATCTCTTCATCCAAAAGGTCAAGCATTTGATTAAAGCAAGCATGTGTGAAAATGCTTTTCATATATATTGCAGTGTCAAAATATCAGAACTGGAGTATATTTTAGAAAGGTGAAAGAAATAGAAATGAGTCAGGTTATGACTGTACAGTAAACACACAATAAAAGATTCGCCTCTATAGCTAAGGCAATAAAATCTTTTCACTGTGATTTTCCTTTTGATTTTCTCTTTGTTGTTGTTCCTGGGGTTTTGTTTGTCTGAAATTAATTTCTGTAACCTAAACCTGTTTTATATATATAAAAAAGTTTAGAAAATCATTTTCTATCCTACACCAATCTGAACCTTGTTCAAGTTTGGTCAACTTTTGGGGAAAAAGGATGAGACTCAAATCACACATGGATCTTTGCCTGATGTAGACAAGTTGCTTTGGCAGCAGTGATTTGGTGAACATTGGCAGCTGTTTAAAAGTCCAAGATGGAGAGAAAATGTTTATAAAACAATATGCATAATGCAGATTGAAACATGCAAATATTCAGTTGCATCTCTCTTTGTGTGCTTGTGTGTTTCTCTTGTTCTAACAGTGAACTGTGAACTGTTCAAGATGCAGTCAATAAAATTGCTGGTAAGTCCAATGTTATGAAAGGAGAGCCGACCTAAAAAGACAAAAGTTAATCAGAAATTCTCTATTTGAGGGGGGGGGGGGCTTTTAGTCATAGCGAAACCGGAGCTGCAGATGGCGCTGCTGAGCTGGAAAAGCTCTCAATTCTCCATTAAAACCTGGCAGAATAATAAACGGGGGGTCCCTGGGAGAGGAGGGCATTTATTCAGCGGCAAAGGTGCAACCCTCACACAAATGGAGAGGCAGAGGCAGCCGTAGCAAGCCGCGCTCCGATATTTCCTTTCTCCCATCCTCCCGTCGCTTTGACTGTAATTTTAGATTGAGATCCAGCTTAAATTCAGGGGGGGAAACACTTTGTCAGGCTGAAAAGCTGTATAGCTGCAACAGCCAAGGTTATGGGCTATCAAATGCAATTACATTAAAACAGATTATACTGTGCAAATTGAGCCATTTAGAAGGTGAGAACCAAAGAAGCCGCTCTGATCTTCCCTCCCTGTTTTTTTTTCCCCCCACCTCTCTCTCTCTCTCTCTCCCCTAAATTGCAGTTTTAGTTCCTTGCAATTCCGAGGTACAAAAGTAGGTGAGACTGCTTTTGTATCTGCAAAGTGCTTCATTTCTGAAGGTAATTCTAAGCGAGTGCAATCTAGGTTAAAAGCTGGACAACTGGATAATTAGAGCTCCCTCGCTGCTAAAGGACAATCAGCTGAGCCCCAGTGTCTGCTCTAGGCTCCCACACAGACTAGTCCCAATCTTTTCTCCTCTGAGCGGAGGCTATTGGAGACGGCGCATCTGCACCCAGGCTTCCTGGGAACCCTGAGATGATGGTGCTGGACAAGGAGGACGGTAGGTGAGCTGAGATTCCGGGAGCGCTGCTGCGGCGCCTCCACTTCGGTGCCGTTGGTGGAAAGGACCTGAAGGGTGCAGCGTTTTCTCTCCTTCCATTCATTTTGTTTCTCTGTTGGATGTAACACCGGGGGTTTCCACGTCTGCTTTTGGGGTGAGGCAAAGCAAACCGGCCAAGTCGTTTTACTTTAGATTCTAGCGGTGGGGAGCCCGTAAGTTAGAAACGGCTTAATTCTAAAAGCGGGGGCGGGGGGGGATTTCCTTAGTAACAGGATCCCCCCCCCCACTCCTTTGCTATTGCTGCCGCCGCCAAAGGTAGGGTTAAAAAAAAAAACAAATCGTCCTTTCCTTTCCCAATGCCAGAGCAGAGAATAGAGTGTCCAGACATTCTGCCACACTCGTCTTTTTTCTCTCTCTATTCGTAGTTATAAACGCCACGACAATGAACGGCGTTACTTGTTAAATGCTCCTTGCAAATAAAGTGTTGGTCTGATCGCTGGAGGGAGGGAAGATGCTTGGTGGGCTTATTGTTGTTGTTTTTTTCCCTTCTCCTTTAGTGAATGATATAAGTTTGGGAAGTTTCTGCTATTTGAAAAAAACAAAAACAAAACAGAAATCTAAAAATATTTTCAGATTTATTTGTAGAGAATAAATTCAGACTGGGTATCAAGAATGAGCATATAGACTTAACAGAAAGAAGGTTCGAAGGCTAGCTTTGCTGCTGTAATAGATTGACAGTTCCTCTCCACACACAACTGAAGGTACAGTGGGGGGGGGTGTCTAGGAAAAAGACGATGACTGGCTAGCCAAGTTTTGTATACTGTTTCTTCTTCAGCTGCTAGAGGAAAGCGAAGGGTTTTGGAACATCTGTCAAGTTTCAGGCTAAAATACAAAAATGTGTACACAGAGGTCACCGGTGAAACTTTTATACTATAACATGGGACTTCAAAAGTACCCCCTTCCCCCTCGTTCCTTTTTCTTTCTCAAAATCCATCTGGGACATACTATGCGCTGCAGTCAGGTGCCAAATCTATACATAGTGATGCCATTTAAACATGTTGTCTTTCCTGGTTTTTAAATCATAGCTGGAATGCATAAGCCAAAATGCCTAATTTAGGTAAGGCTTTGTGGGTGAGGGAGTGTACCAAGGGAAAAAGCATGGGAAATTCTGAGGTGTTCAGGGTGAAAATCAACATTATTCTCCCCACCCACCCCCTTCCCGCTTACTTAAGATAACTGCTTTAAAAATGCTGCTGTTCAAGAAAGTGCTCAGTGGAACTTTTTATGCGGTTGAGATTGAGATATTTGAGATATTGTAGGAGCAGAATATGGTTTGCTTATGGTAGCCAAAATCAGGAGGAGTCAGATACCATCTTTTCTGACCAATAAATTTTGTTAAAAGGCATAATACATCTGTTGAGGTAGGCTGCAGTTCATGAAAACGCCTTTTAATAATAATTGTTAGTCAGGAAAGGTGCTATCGGACTCATTCTGTATTGTTTAAGCAGTGTGTAACTAAAATAATATATTGCTCACAACACAGATCAGTTGTTTTAGTTAATATCCTTTTCCAAAATGCTTACTTAACATAGGGTACCACTTAGCTAGAATAATACCTAGATATTCCACCCAAAAATGTATCAAAATAAAAATCTTCCATGTTTGTTTAAAGGTGGCAGATGTTTTGCATATATTTACAAAAATGTTTAAATTTTATATGCAGGTGTCAATATGTAATCCCTAAAAATCTATTATTGGGTAAAATATAAACTTCCATAATTTAATTTACTGAACTTCATAACAACAGCCCAGTTTGCCAGCAACAAACTGAAACAGAATGTTGCATTAGGTTTTGTGACCTTATAGCACAGTTTGCATTGAATCTACCTTAGTTTACCATTCTGACTATATTTTAAAACGTTTGAGGTCTTCAGTAATGTTACTATTTCAAAAGACCTTAATTTGGACAGATAATCCGATAAATGAGTGAAAGTTACAATGTTGAATTCTGAATTAACTCCAGTTCTACACCACATCCAAATATTTGGGTTTTTTTTTTTTAAAAAAAATTCCAATCAAGTACCAGAGATTAAAAAATAAATTGCCCAGAATTAACTATTCTAGTAGCCTCTTCTGAGTCATCAGTAGATTATTAGACTATATATAAAAGTGGCAAAGAATTGTTTTGGGACAAAAAAAAAAAGACTTTGGCACAGTTCAGGTTGGAGCTATATCTAACGGCTTTGCAAGTAGTGTCTCACACTAAGCATGCTGAAGAATAAAATCGTGTACATTTTTTAAAATCACATTTTGTCAAAAAAAAGTGTTGCAGGTTTTCAAAGTGCTACTTAAATCTTCCACATCCTTTTACCTGGAAGGTTACACTAGATGAGTGGCTCTAATAGATAATAACCTAATAGCAGTCATAATTCTCAGAGGAATTTTAAGGTTGCTGAATCAAATAGTTTGTGGCAAAAAGGCTAGTTAGAAAGGGTGGCAAACAAATTAAAAAATCACTGCATAAAGTAATTATAAAATTGTGCCTTAGGTGAGTCTTGAACTGACGGTTATTAATGCTGTGCAACTTTGTGCTCTTTGCTATCTTAAAGTGGGAAGAAAGTTTCCTTGAGAACTTTACAAGGAAGCTTGTTTATGACCAGAAATTAGTGTACATACAGTATGGATAAGAAATATATGGCAGGCTTCCCTCACTTATTTTGTTGGCAGACACTAACTGCTGGTTTCCTTTTTTTGACCCCCTTCAGAACTCAAAGGAAAATAAACATTTGATGCTAGTGGTTACTTGTCCTTTTTAGTTCACACTTAGTTGAAAGTGTTGCACATTTGAGGCAGAGCTTGGTGCTAAAGCAAGAAGATGCTTCCTGCAAAGATCAAAGAGAGAGTTGTTACGTTCATGTAGAACTCCCTGAAATCAATAGGAATTGTCTGCTAGATTTATTACATAAAGCGAAACAAAATGGACTGCATGGAGAAATTTAGGGAAATGAATTTATACTAAACATTTTCAGCAAACAAGAAAAGTCTGAATAAATGAATCTCTCTTTTTTTCCATCTCCATCCCCAGCATATTAACAATTGACAAACTTTCATCTTTTAAGCAGATCTGGTGTGTGTGTGAGAGAGGTTAGAATAACAAGAATGGGCATTCTGCATAAATTGGGAAAACCATTTCTAGTAAATTACCTGCATTTGCAAGATATACACTAAGTAGATAATCTCTATTGTATTTAGTGCTGAATAATGAGGGGGGAAAGTAGATACTAAAATTCTTGGAAAGAAATCTTAAATTTGGCTGATTCAGGCTTAAATGGAAGCATATAGAAAGGAGGAAATTAGCTAGTTGATCACAAATGAAGCTAGTAGATCAAAGGTAGTAGATCAAAATGAAAGTGAATTACAAATGATCATGCTGATAAGTAATACTGAACAAATGAGTATACGGTATATCAAAATTGAACTGTTTTTAAAAAATAGGGACTCAATTTGAAAGTTCTGGAGAATAACTGCAGTTGAAATATAACTAATTAAAATAAAAGCCTTATGCAAAATATCAGTACACGCTGAGTACACAAATTGTATATTTCATTTTAAAATTCATTCAGCTGAATTCTCAATCTGTATATTGTTATCATGTTGATGCTTATGATTTATTTCATTTTGAGAATTTAGAAAAAAACTCATGTTGTTATTTGGGCATCCTGGTAAAAGTACTGTACTTCTTAAATAAAAACGAGTTGTTGTAATGTCTATTCAACATTTATTTATTCAACCCAGTTGAATGTATTCACATAAAAATGAGTACAACTATCATGCATAAATGGTGCATACAATTCTGCAGGAAAATGGAAGTGGTTTAGGAGGAAATTGGATTCTTTCTCGCATTTATTTCAACATTATTTTGAGAGAAGGAGTACTATACAATGGGAACACTGAAAAATAGAGAAGCAGACAAAATTATGTAAAAAAGAAAGGTGGTTACAGAAATTAAAGCTTTTGGAAAAAGATTTTGAAAATATGTAACAGATTAATTATCAAAGTTTATTTATACTACAGATTCTGAAAAGAAGAAAGATAATTCCATTACAGTGGTGAGGACAATTGGAATCTTTTAAAGAGCTTTAGGCACTTAGTGTTGCATAGATTTCTGTAATAATATCACAAGTCAAAATTTTGTTGGTAAATTGATCAAGAAGGTATAATCCACTTGATGGGAGACACCATTATCTTATTTAAGAAAGCACTTAATAGACAAGAAGCGAGGTAGGACAAAGAGGTAGATACCTATCATCTTAATGGTGAATGCATGAAGATGAACAAGGGAATTGTTCTAAAATGTCATTTTAAGTACTCTCCATCTTAAAAATGCACGTGTAGCATAGCATGCATACAATAAAATGATTGAACAAATAATTATATATATTGCAGAGTGCTTTCAGTCTTCCCATGATAAGCCCCCTTGCTTTGAAATGGACATGCTTCCATGAGATAACAGATGAAAACTAATCTTTAATTACATGTGGCAAAATATAAATTGAATGAGGAAGCTATTGCTGCCAAGGGACTGTATAATGCAGCTGTTCCAGAAAACTATACAGTCCAGGAGGAAGAATAAAGGTACTTTATTTGAAAGTTTATTAACTGGATTGATTATTGATGATAGCAATTGAAATATAGTAAAGGTAAGTAGGAATTGATAGTTGGAAGATCTAGCAAAACATGATGAAAAATCAATAAAAATCTTTCATACTAATTGCCATAGGTAGCACTGAGACAAGCATTGTGACATTTGGAAAAACAGAGCATATATTAGATACCACATTCTTGGTTAAAAACTTTGTAAGCTGAAAGAATAAAGATGATGGAGATTCAATATCTGAACATGTATTGGTTCTTTATAATTAATAACATATCTGTCTTAATGGTTCCCATAAAAAGCTATTCCATTAAAGATCTGGGAATTGTTTCTCTCTTGGTGAATAGAAA